TAAATAATAACAGATTTTCCGTACGTTTCCAAGGCAGTTAAAAAATGCGTATAATTTTCGTCACGAAATTAATATCATAAATTTTGTGTTTCTAGTTCAGCTTTCGTCACTCGAAAATTTTACCTCAAAGAGGTGTTTTATTTGATATCAATTATTTTTGGGTAGCAAATTTAAAATCGACAAAAATACAAACAATAATCTAAATGTTTTATTTTTCTCAAATAAATTGCTAAAAATGTTATCTAAATCTAAATTATGTATTCAAATCGATGTGTCCATTGAAACACATAATTTTTCGAATACGGAATAAAGCGAAAAAGAATGATCATATCCTTTGTATTCGAAAAAATAAAAAATAAATATGAGATATGATAAAAACTTATCAACTGGGTACCAACTTTGGATACAATAAACAACTCTCTTCGTCTGACAGTCTCGTAGTTTATTTTGGTTAAGATTTCTACCGGGTGTGGGGCGCACACCTGTGCTTTTTTTAAGAAGTTTTACTTCTATCACGTGTACGGGTTTGCACTCGTGCTATTAAACTAATGATTTTTTCTCAAGTAGTTTTGCTCAGTGGCAATTTATACATATGTATGTAAGTAGTAGCGGCACATTGGGTGAACTAAATGCATTCATACATACATATTTAAGTACAACTGTAGGTAATATTGTACGCGTCTTCCCAGGTTGGTTAAGTGCGGGTGATAAACCGATGTAGCATAGTTAAATACTGTGCAGATACCTGCAATTAAAATGGGGAAAAATGTTACAATTTCGGCATGTGACTGAAAAAAACTCTAAAATACACATAAATTGTGGCTTCCAAGACATGTACGAAGTGATTAGCACAGCTGCATCCTTCATCTTGTCAACTCGCGGGAAATTCCCCGATTTGCAGGGAATTTCGGTTTAAGTGGAAATCGAGGAATGGACAATTTTTTTTCGGGGAACTGGGTGTGTTATTTGTATATCTTAAAGTAACCAAATTAGACGGATTTGTTAATTTTTAGCCATTTGACCCTTTTTGGAGCGAAATTTTTTCAATTTGAATCGCAATATCTCCACAACAAGAGTTTTCCCAGATATAAGCTATATACCAAATGAAAGCTGAGGTTCTCGGCTAGACTTAGAATAAAATCGACTGACCAGTTTTAGAGAAAATGCCCGAAATCTCTATTTTCTGCAGCCCGATTTTCAGTTTTCAGGCGATAACGTTATGACGTATTAATATTTTATAAACACAAAAGATAGCGTTAGATAGCTTGTTTGAAGATCCTTCCACTGATATCCACATCAATGACATGGACTGAGTAGTGCGGCCTCAGTGGTAGATTAAAAAACTCATTTTTTCGAATTTCAGGCAGCAGCCACGCCCACAAAGGCGTACGAATCAAAACATCCGGGAACAAAACCTTCCTATTTTTTTTTGTACTTTTATTCCTGAAAGTTTGAAAAAAATTAAATGAAGGTACGTACAAACGCCACATACATACATACCAAAGCATCTCGTAGTGGAGACACGAACCAAAACACGTTTACCTCTATATCTTTCCAACTAGTAACCGGAACTTAATATATATCGTTTGAAAGGTATTGGCCTATAGAATAACACTAAATATGTTGGGTGTACCCACATGCCCCCTTAAACAGGCAAAAGCAAAAAAACGTTTTTTGTTTCGCAACACTTTAGCCTAATTTTTAAGAATCCTGTTAATCGTTTATGAAGCTTGAATACATTTTCTGGACACACGCTGCAAGAACTTTCCAACGATATCTCAAGCATGTCGATTGGACGTCTGGATAAAAACTTCCAAATCTCGTGTATATATAAGCGAGTCATTTCAGCATGCTACTGTGGATGCTTTCGTCACTCGCGCGCACTGCCGTGCGCGTGATGTATGTATGAATGCATTTAGTTCACCCAATGTGCCGCTACTACTTACATGCATATGTATAAATTGCCACTGAGCAAAACTACTTGAGAAAAAATCATTAGTTTAATAGCACGAGTGCAACACCGTACACGTGATAGAAGTAAAACTTCTTAAAAAAAGCACATGTGTGCGCCCCACATCCGGTAGAAATCTTAACAAAAATAAACTACGAAACAATCAGACGAATACAGTTGTTTATTGTATCCAAAGTTGGTACCAAGTTGATAAGTTTTTATCATTTTTCATAATTTTTATTTATTTTGTTTTTTAATTTTTTCGAATACAAAGGATATGATCATTCTTTTTCATTTTATTCCGTATTCGAAAAATTATATCGTCGTTTAAAGTGCAAAACCGTGTATCAACAAAATGCAAAACCGCGTATCAGCAAAATGCAAAACCGCGTATGTGAAGTTTAGAAATTATTTTTTAGAGCGTAAAAACACTCACATTTCAAAATGGTTCTCTTTTTTATAAAGCAATCGCATATCTGCCTAATATATTTTAGGACGAATGGATAAGAATTGAGCCAAGAGCTTGTGTGAGCAAATCCAATTTTTGGCAGCCAATGTCAGTTACGCGGTTTTGCAGAATCACGATACGCGGTTTTGTACTTTAAACGACGATATGTTTCAATGGATACATGGATTTGAATACATCATTTAGATTTAGATAGAAAAATAAAACATTTAGATTATTGTTTGAATTTACGTCGATTTTAAATATGCTACCCCAAAATTATTGATATCAAATAAAACACCTCTTTGAGGTAAAATTTTCGAGTGATGGAAGCTGAGCTAGAAACACAAAATTTATGATATCAATTTCGTGACGAAAATTATACGCATTTTTTAACTCTCCGTCAGACACATGTTTCGATTGGCACATTCGGTACGCATGAGTCTGGCTGGACCCACATGCAAATGGTATGCATTTATATAGAAATTATGTGCAACATTTGTTCAGTTAAGCTTATTTATTGTATGTTATTCAAATATTTATTTAATTTTAGGGCTTTCGTTTGAAAATAATTGCGATAATAGTAGCTTATAATTTATTATTTAAATACAGTGGCGATCAAAACCGATTGCATGTTCGACATTTTATTACTTACAGTAACATAACTTTTTTAATAATAAGCGGATTGCTTTGAAATTTACGGCAATTTGTCCTTATTATCTAGGGAATAAAGCCTACAGAAAAACTATCAAGCGTTTCACAGAAAAAACGCAAGGCAACTCTATTCACTCTATTTTGAGATTTTAGGAGGTTTATATCAAGAGGATTGTGGAGACTCCCTTGCTTTTAATAGCGATTTTCATACGTCTCCAAGGCTCTTCCATGTTACTGGGGCCCGCTTGTGCTATGCTAATCCTCTCTTGACCACAGCGCTCAATTTTCGATAACTTTGAGGTCTGGGTTTTTTGCTGGCCACCATGTTAGACGTTTGCGAAAGAGAAAATATTTATTTTTGTACTCACATTTGAAAATGGGAAAGGCCTGGCTGGGCTCATGTGTCAGACGAAGGGTTAACTGCCTTTGAAACGTACGGAAAATCTTTTCCAGGGCTAGTTGCAAAAAATCTAAATATTATTGTTATCCTTATAATCACAATAATATTTTACCTCCTTCCACTCATTTGTGTTTTTTATTGGTGGTCCTTGGCTATTATACGTACATATGTATATTGAAACTTAGGAAAAAAATTAAAATGTGTTATAATCAGCGTTGCCGCTTTGGTAATTTCTAACCAAAATTGGTAATTTTTTTCTTTATTTGTCAAGTTTGGTAATTTGGTAATTTATTTTTCAATTTGGTAATTTTTTCCATTCGGTCTTACATGTCAAATGGGTCAGAATTGGTTCTGATTCCACATTAGAAAGTGGACCGTAAGCGTTTCTTTTATAGCAATACCAGTTAATCCTGAGAGTTTCGCAAGGCGAAAGTTGTTCCAGGTTTCCTTGGCTACTAGAATGGTGTGTTCTTTAACAAACGGTTGAAAGTGGCTATTGCTAAGTATATCCATCGTGTCCTTTCCTGGAAGGCTTTGGGTGGTCCTACCTTTCCCTGTCAGTTCGTCAGCTTTTCAATTACCATCAATTTTCCTGTGTACCCGGCAATCATATATATGAATAGAATTCTTCGTAAATACGTATATTCTCGGGACTTCACCCTGTCTATGTGTGAGTCGAAAGCTTTCCTTCAAGTGTTGAATTTTTGATATATTTTCTTTTCACTTGTTTACATACAGTGGTCGAAAAAATTATAGCCACACCATATTTTGACAAGATTTAACATATTATTATTTTTGTAATTTAATTTTGGTTATTTTTTATAAAAATATTATTCTTTCTTTAACAGAACTTAAACAAATTCAAACTTCAAACTTTTATTTAAATATTTAAAAAAGTTCATCAAACTTTCGTGTAAATTTTAGGTTAACGGAGCACTGATGGCCTGAAAAGCTTGGTATCTTCGGATATATGTATGTACAGACATATTGAGCCCTAACTGCCAAAATAACGTGAGCGACATTTTTTTTCAAAATTTTCTTTTTGATGCAGAAAGGCATCTAAATGCTTTAAGAATATTTCTGCATCAAAAGGAAGATTTTAAAAAAATGTCGCTTACGTTATTTTGGCGGTTAGAGCTCGATATGTATGTTTGTACAGTTCTGCACATAAAATAAGTTTGGTAATTTTTTGTTGAATTTGGTAACTTTTTCCGGTGATTTTGGTAAAAAATAACAGAAGTTTGTGGCAACACTGGTTATAATTCATTTAGTGTTTTGAAATTTATATTTTCTTTTTAACTGAGATTTATAATATTTTGTTTTCGGTTTCTTGGATGTATCAAAGACATAATTACCTTCCTTTTCAAATTTTTCAAGTTGTTTGTATTTTGGCTTACTTTTTGTAATTTGCCTGTTTTTAACTATATTATCTTGTTGGTCAATTATTTGAGCTCTATCACGATTTAGTTTATTTATTCGCTTAATTTTATCTTCCTCGTACTTTTTACTCAAGTTATCTATGTAAACTTTGTCATAATTTTTTATTATAAAATCGATAGGTCGTTTCCTTGTGGTAGTGGTATCGAACACAATTTTGTTCATTTTACCTAGGAACTGTATGCGCTGTTTTAAAGCA